TTAATTTTAACGCATTTGATAAAACTGTTACTAAAGTTGATAGTTATTTTTTACTTTGAAATGTCAATTAAATTAAATTGTGAGATTGTAAGTTTAAATTATAATAAATATTTTTCGTAGTCATTCATTTAAATCAATTAATGGTAAGTTCTGTTATAAATTATAATATTAGAGAAATATTATGACAAAAGCAAATAACTTTTAATTCACACAAAACATCCAATAAATGTATTGAAATCTAAAATATAGAGTTCACTACAGGTTTGGTTAACAAACTTAACATGTTTAGATTCTATAACAGAATACAACATTATATTTAATATAAAAATGATTGCATGCGATAGACAATAGAATATAATTTATAGAAATTAAACATCAGCTCAAATATCATAATTATTTTTAATCTCAATAGATTATATAATATATAAACAGTTTATTAAATTTATTTCAAGTAAATCATATTTAAGAAATTATTTATCAATAAAGTAGTAATTTGGTATCGCATACAATATATAAATTTAATAGCTAGAATGCTGCTAGATTATTATTTATTCACTTATATGACTTAAAATAAATATAAAATTTATTTACAATGATTGCATAATTTGAAAATATAGATTTGTTTAAAATAAATGTGATTACAAGGGGTTAATACCATTAAATGCAAGACATGACCGAAAATAGTGATTTGAGTGAATGTTGGGATGTGTTGGCATCACATCAATGAACAGCTATTCCTTGTGTAAGCGTATATTGAGATCAAACAAACCGTTGGTTTTGTCAAAATAATGCACTTTGTATTTAAAATATTAATGAACACAATTTCATTCGTTAAAAAACAATTAATTTTTTTATTTGATTTGATTATAATATAAATGTATTATGTTTGATGTCTCTGTTTATAATAAAATAAACTCCATTTGAAGTTGATTTTACAAAAACACGAAATCAGATGAAATGTTTATTTAAATTGAATTTTAAATGAAGTTTTATATAAATATAAAGCGAATGGAAAGCATTTGAATGAATACACGAATTACTGAATACCAAAAAGCCATAAACAAAGTCAATTCAATGCAAATACAATTAACTTTAATTTAATCATTTCGTCAACGAATTTGTTGCACAGAAATGTGTTTATCACTCATTAGATCAGAGATCTATGGCTCGAGTGTAGTAATGAAACTCTCGGGGGGTATATATGAAAAGCATTGAGAATATTATCTTTGAATAAAACGTTTTTATCAGCAAAATATTCAAAACACTTTTGGAACAAATTTTAATGAATTTTTTCTCCATATAAGAGACTATCATTTGTCACAATTTATATTAAATTCTTGACTTATATATTATATTATAGTAAATAATTTTATGTATTTTACAAAATAGGATTCTTTTCACTATGGTGTATTTTATTATTGAATTTGAATGACTTATATTATAATGCTTTATATTATATTTCAAGTATACTATAAGAATAAGGGTTTGATTTGTATCCATATATATAACTTTTAAATTCTTTCAAAATTACAAATAGGTTTTATTATAAAATCAATTTTCTGCTTAACATTTATGAGCATTATTTATAACTCGATGCTTTCCATTAGGTTTTATATTTCCTGCAATTTTATTTTCAATTTTATATTTATTAATTTTAGAAAAACATATAAATTAAATCTCATTAATATTTATAATATTTTGAAAATACGTTTAGGTTTTTAGTAAAAACTTGTTGATTTGGATAACAATGATTTAAATATATCTTTACTTCACTTTTATTGATATTTTGAATTATATTAAGAATATTCTGTTTTGTATATTATTCTGAATATATTATCTAAACAAAACATAAATCCCTAAATGCAGTTATAATCTCAAATATGGCACAAATGTTTTATAGATTGAAAAATTTTATTTAATAGTAAATGCATTTCCATTTGACTTTAAAATTAGTCTTAAAAATAATAAAATAAATATAATTTTTCAATAATATAAAAATAAATCCATGACAAATAATGTTAATATAAATATACTGTATAATATTTTATTTCACTTAATATTCTGGATTTTGATTCTTGAATTATAGCAAAATAGCGATATTTGGTTGTAATTCAATTCTTTCTGTTTATCTGTAAATATAATTTTGATTGAATAGTGAATTAAAGATACGATTCTTGAGTTTAGACTTTATTTGTGAAATACAATAACTATTTACAATATTAAATATCAAATAAAATAATATCATATTAATAATTATTGTAGTTTTATTTATATGATAGATATCTTATTTGAAATTATATAATTTTATGGCATAATTACCTTAACGAGTCATTAATAATCTGAATTCTAAGATATACATTGAGATCATTTCATATCTTTTGCTTTAATTTAAATGTGGTTTAAATATTTTGGCCAAAAGATTCATTGCATTTTCAAATTCAATACAGTATAACAAATATAAGCACATTTATATGATGAGCAAACTTTTGTTTATTAGAAAAATGTATTTTGTTTTTGTAAATACAATATACTGTATAACAATAGAACCGCTATTTTGATAGAATGCAGATTTTGATCAAAGACAAGCATTTATCCAATAATTCATTGGATTTAGTGTTATATCACATGAAATTGTGGTCAATATAATGAAGACATGATTGCAATTCAGATCAATAATTGAGTTCTTCATTGTAAACGTGTCTGCGCTATGACTACAGACTTTATATATTGTATTTTGTGGTTGTATTTTACAAAACTTTATAAAACTCTATTAAATAAGTTATTTTTGATGAGACCATAGAATTGGTACCAAATCTTATTGTCTTTTGTTTAATACTATTAATGCTATTAAATTCTATAATTATTTTATTATTACTAAATATTTAATTTAATGAAACTTTGTTTATGAAAGAAATAATACTCTTTTTAACTTTTTATTTTATAAAATCTTTTATTATTTGTTACTTCAACCAAAAGATAACAATCTTTCCGTAAGATTAACTAATACTAAATTAAACTCGTTTCTTAATAAATAATAAATATTTTTATTATAAATTTAATGTCTCCATTCTTTATCACAATGTTATATGATAGTATGTAACACAATATTTATTTCACCTAGCTCTCCTTATAATAAAATATAGTAAATTCTTGAGCATAATATTTATTTGAAAGGTCATTAAAACATGATATTATTTTACTTTAAGACAGACGTGACATTCATTGTGTTATTTCTATAAATAATTTATTTTAATTATTTCCACAATCTTTCCATAAGAGACGATAAAATCTTCAGTAATTGTAAGCATTCTTTGTATTCCTTTTGTTGAATATATAATGAATTCATATTAACATTGAGACGAGTTCTGTAAAAATGTTTTTATGTCTCAATTCATGTGAAAATCGTTTACAATATTCAGATATCTTAGCGTTCAATGAATGCAATCACTCAAAAGGGGTTAAGAATGTGCAGCTCTTTGAAGGACTTAATTAAAGTCAATTCATTAGCGCTCTGTTCATCACTTCCTCTAAACATTTATCAAAGTGTCGTTTATTTTTTACAAATCATTAACAAAAATGTTTGTGATGTTAGGTTAAGTCAAAGAGTCTAAATATAATGTGTGTTTAGTATTTTTGGGTTAAATTTCAAAACTATTGCACATTCATTGCAAAATACTATTGTGTTTCTAAACAAGAGATAAATTTTGTAAAAAGGGATTAAACCTAATATAAGAACAAAACTAATTTTGTCGTTTATTATGTTACTAACCATTATTAACCCATAAAAAGCACTTTTACTCTCCATTTCAGTATCAAATAATACGATATAAATAACCAAAAAAGTCAAACAAATCTTTTAAGGTTTTGTTTAGCAGCGAATTCTTAGTGAATAAATACTAAATAAAGTTTCGGTTATTTTTGAGCCTAACGTTTGACAATCCATTTGTTTGTACTATTTTCTCGTCAAACACTAACTTCAGTGCAGATAACTTATTGCATAAAACATTTCGCTGTTTGAAACTTATTTACCTATTCTGAGGGAAAATAAGATAACCAAATATTTTCATCTGCAAAAAAATTGCTGACAATATTATGAATCCTAAAAAATTCAAAATTTTATATTTTTGTAATTCAAAACTATCCGAAAAAGTTGCATAACTGTTGAGTGACTGAAAAAAATGCAATGCAAAGCAGTTTTACGGCTCAATAATAGACTGTTTGCTAAAAACTACATATTTATGACTTCTATGTGAGCATTGATTTCTGGATGTGACGGTTTCTCGACTGAAATGTTATCATAAATTTGTCATAAATTGTATTATATTTTCACAAAATATAAAAAATATGTGATTTGATTGTTTGAAAATAACGAAATTTATTGTGTGTTAAGTCTTCAACTAATTTATGTGAATCGTTGTATTGGAAGAGCCATTCATTACAACACATTTCGTTGCAATACTATTAACGATTGAATTCATTACTGTATTTCATATGATATTTAAAATATTATGGCAAAAATGATAGGAAGACATAATTATTTCTATAATTGTCACTATAATTATAACATAAATTACATTCAATATTAAGTATAATTGAGTTAATTAATGATCAACTCTTATAGCAATGTAATAGCTTTGACGACTAATCCCTATAATAACTCATAATTAATATCGAGTGATTAGGTTTTGGTTTTTCTAATTATTATCCAACCCTTAATTCGTGTAATTATTGTTCAAATTAAATGCAATTTTCTTGTATGTAAACGGTTTTGACAACTATTTTAACTCTTGTCTTGATTTGAAATAAGAAACATTTAAACTTTGATATAAAAAACAGTTCATTTTGATTTTTGACAATTTATTAAGCATTTAATTATACGGTAATAACAATAGCGAAAGAATTATTTAAATTGTTTTTTAATATGAAAGCAAAAAATATAATTATATTTTAATTTAAAAGTCAATTCCATTGAAATATACAATTGAATGTCTTTTGCATAACAGTCTATCAATTATTATGAAAACATTTGATAAAATTTATTCTTGAGAGCAAAACAGCGCAACCGATAAACACAATACCGGCGTTCATATCAACAAAATAATTATCACAGAAACTTTGTTCAAATTGTTTTCTTAGTTTTCTTTGGAGGTCTTTTTGGTGGCTTCGCATCAATGGGTCCACCCTTTGGCGGAAGCGGTGGTTTGATTCGCGGGTCTTTAACTCTACCGCTCTTCACATCGTCATACATATCGGCGTAAAGGATATCATCCATTTCCACACCAAACGGCTGCACATGTAATACAAATAATCAGCAAATACTTGGAGGAGAGGGTGAGCTGTCAAATGTGAGGACAGCGTATTCGCAAAGATTGTTGCGATTTTGGTTATGATTATGATTGTGATTGTTATGACTCTTATGATTATGACTGTTAAGAGTGTGATAATTGGTTTGACTATTAATATGTGTAGAGTTTTGATTGCTTTTTAAGCAAAGGTTATATTGAGATTCTCCGTCAGCGGTTAGCTGTAGGTCTGCGTAAACCACATTCCGCTCATATATGCTGTATATATTGGCGCCGGAAGTCTATTAGAGGACACGAAAAGCAGTGATTAAAGTTAGTTTCAAAGCTATTGTTAAGCAAAACAAAGCAACAAAAATGAAAGCAATGAAGACCTGGCAGTTGTGATAGCGGGCCGATTGAGTTCTGCGCAACTCTCGGGTTATTTGAGCGATATTTTCGTTGTATTGCGGGATAAAAGGGCCGTTCAATTGCATACACTTCTCATTTGATGTGTCAATATATATATGATATACGAATGGATCAATAGTTTTGTCAAATCAACGCTATTGAGAGGGCTATACCTTGCGTTGAAAGGGCATATTCTCGTACATTTCACGATTGCTGGCCTCCAGGTTCGGGTCGTTTGTATTTCCGGGTAATTTACGGCCGCCGACTGACTCGCTCTTTGACGACACGTCTGTTCGTATGGGAAAACACGACAAACAATAAAACAATGAGATTGTATTGATTTACACCAGAAAACAATTGTTTTTTCTTGATTGTAATCTTAAATAATTAGTGTTAGAGAGATCTCTCACCCATCACTTTGTCGTTGCGTTTTAATCTGGGATTCATTTCAACTTTTTTATAGGTAATCACTGGAAGCCAGACCACAGCACATATGCATACAATCGGTTAGTTTGCAATTTTATATAACAATCAGTTAATATTTATGAAGCAATTATTATTGTGAGAATAAAAGTGTTATAAATATGTATAATATTTATACGATTGTATTAATAATAATTGTTTGCATTGAGTCTAACGTGAAATGCATTCATACCTTGATTTGATGATAAATGACTGCTCAATGAGGAGGGGGTCGGAGAGCGACTGCCATCGGGACTGCATTACACATTCAAACATTCAAATTAGTAAAAATAAATGCAAATCAAGAGCTTAGTGTATCTCAATGTTTAGTATAATATTTTTGTTAAGATTTTAGCATTTATTATAATTTATTATCACATAATAATGTAAAGCTATGGCTAGAAAAGTGTTTGTAATGCAAACGCATAACTACTTGTATTAGCGACAGAATAGCATTCATTATATAATATTATATAATAGAGTAGTAGTTGTTGTTATATAAAGCAAAGGAAAGTGCATTAAACTTACTTTTCTCGTGTTTGCGAAACTCGAGTCGATTCTAGAAAGAAAAGGTCAGCAAAAGAGGGACTGTTAGGCGACAAGACATGCAAAGCACGTATTCTTCGTACAAAAGATTTCTTATGTAATACTGTTTGCAAACCTTGTTTATGACGACGTCTTCTCATCAGACATATCAACACCAATAATATGACAATAAATGTAATTATTATTGCGGCTATTATTGTCGATATCAATATTACGGACTCGTCGCCCAACGCCTCCCAATCCGATACAACTGTCATAACATTGCAATCCAATTAGTATTCAATTAATCTGTTTTATATTATACACTATTCTGAAGCAATACTAAAGTAAATTCTATATTAAGTATTTATAAATAAATTTAGTATTTCAGTAGTTTATAACAAACATCTGATAAATAAATTTGTCATTAAATATAATCCTCAAGATTTGATTTTAACTTAGTTTTTGATCTCATTTGTAATAAAATCCTATTTAATCGCAAAGCTTTTATTGGAATTACAGCATAAGACTCATAAATAATTAAAATGATTGTGTGCTTACGTATGGGTGGAGAGACATAGAGAGTGCAATTAGGGTCGGTTTGTCCGATAGAGTTGGCCACAGCACAGGTCCAGCTGCCAAACAGGGTCTCATCATTGATGGGAATTGTAATCTTGGATTTCATGCCTTCATATTTGACTATTCTTTCAATTAACGTCTCATTAAGTGATGTGTTATTAAAAAACCAGTTGAAAGTAAGCTCGTTGTTGGGATTGGCGGCCGTCACCGCACATATCAATTCAATCTCCTGGTCATCGTCTGTACGGCTCTCGTATAGAGTACATGTCGGAGGGTCTGAAATAATGACATTGTATATCATTGTATTAAACAAATAATAGTTTATCATTAAATGAAATGTTTTTGATAGGAAGTACAGCGCAAATAATATATCACGCAATGTATGTAACTGTCTGTCTATACAAACATTACAGAAAATAATAAAAATTTTAATTAATAAAACCCCGAGAGAGGAGAGAGAGAGAGAGAGAGAGAGAGAGAGAGAGAGAGAGAGAGAGAGAGAGAGAGAGAGAGAGAGAG